CTGGTGAAGATTCCTGAGAATCCCTTGACCAGCAAGGAAACCAAACCAGTCAACCTTAAGGGAAATCAACCCTGAATATGCATTTGAAAAACTGATGCTGAAGCTTCAGTATTTTGGTTACCTGATGTGAATAGCCAACTCACTGGAAAAACCCCTGATGCTGGGAAAGATTGAATGCAGAAGAAGGGGGTGTCAGATGATGAGATGACTGGATGGCATCACTGATGTAAGAGACATGAACTTGGGCAAATTTCAGGAAATGGTGAAGGACAGGGAGGCCTGGTGTGCTGCAGTCCATGGGGTCGCAGAGTTGGACACGACTGGGCAACTAAATAACAATAACAGTGCAACACTGGTCAGCATAAAAATTCAGTCAATATAATTATCTATTAAAAGTGTGAAGAAAAAAATATTATTTCACTAAGTACAGGAAATAAAAATGAAAAAATACTACTCCTATTTATGATTAAAAGAAACAGCACACTGGGAATACAGGGGTATGTTTCTATTCTGATAACAAATATACACAAACAATTTAAAGTAACATCATTAAATGGACTTTCTTGGTGGCTCAAATGGTAAAGGGTCCACCTGTAATGCAGGAGGCTCAGGTTCAATCCCTGGGTGGGGAAGATTCCCTAGGTTTTTGGAGAGCCCCTGGAGAACAGAATGGCTACTCACCCCAGTATTCTTGCCTGGAGGATTCCAAGGTTAGAGGAGCCTGGCAGGCTAAAGTCCGCAGGGTTGCAAAGAGCTGGACGTGACTGAACAACTAACACTTTCACCGCTTTTCAACATTGTGCTGGTCTGTGCTATACAGGACTACCATGTAAGAAGAAATTTTGATTTAAAATTAAATGCACTACAACTCAAAGAGAAAAATAAAATGGTATTATTTACAAAAATTGAGACATAAATTGAAGAAAGTAGGGAAAACCACTAGACCATTCAGGTATGGCTTAAACCAAATCCCTTATGATTATACAGTGGAAGTGATAAATAGGTTTAAGTGATCAGATCTGATAGAGTGCCTGAAGAACTATGGAGAGAGGTTCATAACAGTGTACAGGAGGCAGTGATGAAAACCATCCCCCAAAAAAAGAAATTAGAAAAGGCAAAATGGTCATCCAAGAAGGCCTTACAAATAGCTGAGAAAAGAAGAGAAGTGAAAGGCAAGGGAGAAAAGGAAAGATACACTCATCTGCATACAGAGTTCCAAAGAGTAGCAAGGAAAGATAAGAAAGGCTTCCTAAGTGAACAATGCAAAGAAATAGAGGAAAACAATAGAATAGAAAAAACTAGAGATCTCTTCAAGAAAATGAGAGATACCAAGGGAAGATTTCATGCAAAGATGGGCACAACAAAGGACAGAAATGGTATGGACCTAACAGAAGCAGAAGAGATTAAGAAGAGGTGGCAAGATTACACAGAAGAACTATACAAAAAGGGTCTTAATGACCCAGAAAACCACAATGGTGTAATTACTCACCTAGATCCAGACATCCTCGAGTGTGAAGTCAAGTGAACCTTAGGAAGCATCATTACAAACAAAGCTAGTGGAGGTGATGGGATTCCAGCTGAGCTATTTAAAATCCTAAAAGATGATGCTGTTAAAGTGCTGCACTCAGTATGTCATCAAATTTGAAAAACTCANCTGCAGCTCCAATCCTTTGCAACCTGATGTGAAGAGCTGACTCATTGCAAAAGACCTTGATGCTATGAAAGATTGAGGGCAGAAGGAAAAAGGGGTGACAGAAGATGAGATGGTTGGATGGCATCACCTACTCAACAGACATGAGTTTAAGCAAACTCAAGGCGATAGTGAAGGACAGGGAAGCCTGGCATGCTGCAGTCCACGTGGTCGTAAAGAGTCAGATACGACTGAGCAATGGAACAATTATGTTTGTAGAAAATTCCAAAGAATCTATAAACAAGCTACTGGAGAAAGTCAGTTTAGCAAGATTACAGGATATAAGGTCAATATATAAAAACCAGTTGCATATTCATGTTCTAGTAATAAACAATTGGGAAATGAAGGTTAAAACGTACTATTTACAATACTACAGTGAAGATATCATATCTCCTATGTTCTTTGCCATTACATGTACTTTTCCTCTGTGTTAATGTCTTTCCATCTACTTCCACACATTTGTTGAACTCCTATAATTCTTTCCAGTCTCTGTTCAGGGTTAATCAATCTTTTAAAGCATTTTTTTCTTACCCTTTAAAGTACTTTTTCAACTTTATCAGCAAATTCTCTTCTTAAAAAGAAAAACAAAACAAAAATTAACACAGATATCAAACATATAGAACTAATAAAAGTGGAGCTTTCTTACTGAAATGAGTACAGAGTAAACTCAGTCATAACTTCCTAAAAAAGCTCCTAAGCACAGACTGAAACTCATTAAGATTTTTAAGCACCCAAAGATCTGAAAGTTGCTACTATAGCCAACATCTTAAAAAGTGAAATCTTTCTCCAGCTTTATAGAAAATAAGATCAGCATATACAAATTCTTTCACCTCCAAGTCGAACAGAAACTTATTTGCATTCCTTTCTGTAGGATTCCTCTCCAGTCTGAGTTGAATTCTTCCAGCTATGCTCTCATTCTCTCATAATATCTCAGAAAATCTGTTCCAGTGACCTCTTTAATTCACTCTCAACATGTACATACACTGTTGCCTCAATTATTAATACAGAAATATTGTCATTTTCTCCCATTGAAATACAAACTTCTTCTTTTTCCCTTTTTTTAAACTTCCTGAAGTTCACACCTTCCATCTAACCTAGAATAATGTGGTTTCTGTTCACCCTGATTAACAGAAATTGTTCTTGCCAAGGTCTTCAACATGCTAGCTACTAATTCAAATTTATTCTCTTTTATGTGATTTGTGGCACCCAACACTACTGAGATCCAGTTCTCCTTTGGGTTCACTGACTTCACTCCTCCAGCTTTTCTACCTCTGGGGCCATTCCTTTTCATGTTAAATTACTTTTCCTCCACCAGCTCCTTATTTATTGATATTTTTGTGGGTTTTATCTATGACCCCTGCTAGCCATTCTAATCTATACACTATGCTGGACAAGTTCACACATGATGGTTTTGACTACCAATTCTGTATTTTACTCTGAATTCTAGTCTTCTGGGTCTAGATTTCTAGGCTTGTCTGTTCAGCTGTCTTCAACCTTCTAAACTCAGTCTCTACACCTTATTGCTAGACCCACTTCCCTTATATAAAATCTTTCATTGGTATAAATTTCTGAATCAATTTCAAATGTTTTAGGATGGCAAGTAAGACCTCTGGTTCTGCCATTTCTCAAGCTTCAACCTGTCATTCTCACCATTTAACAGATGTTCTACAAATGTGTCATGCTGTCACCCACCTTTATGTTTGCTTATGTGGCTTCCTTTCCTTGAAGTACTCATCTCACTCCCTGGAGAATTCTTATTATTCTTCCAAAGCTAGGCTCAGACTTCACTGTCCCTAGTCCTTTCAGACTCCTTATGCATCCAGCACAAAAACACAGCATTTGTGTTCTCTAACATAGTATCATTGTAACATCTGTTTCCCTGTGCAAACTACTTTAACACATTGTAATCTGCTTACTCATTTGTTATTCTCTTCAACTCCATCTTTTTGCCTGTCAAATCATGACTTCCTGAAGGCCTATTCTTTTTCTCTTGTATAAGTTCCAGTGCCTAGAATAATAGCTGGCTCACACTTGGGGTTAAGCATTTACTGAGCAAAATGTTTTTTAAAGGCTTAGAAAATTTCCCCTTCTTTTATTTTCCTTTGGAGTCTGAGATTTTTAAAAACCAGAAAATCTTAAGTGGGGAAAACATGCTTTTATTTCGTGAAATTGATTCCTTTTTAAGACTGCCACAAGTTCTTAGGACTTCTGCAGCAAACTAAAAAAAAGAAAAAAAAAAGCTTTGAAGTGATTATCTAATCAAACTATATTTTTCCTACTTAAGTTAGCATGCTGTACAGAACAGAGCAAATAAAGTTATACGATAAATATGACTTCAATGCAACAAAGAAAAATAATGCTGAAACAAAATTAGAAACTGTGTAAAAATTTTGGGACACTCTTAGGTGCAGTTTGGAAGTAACAAGAAAAATAAAGGAGGAAGAGAAAGTTATGACCAACCTAGAAAGCATATTGAAAAGCAGAGACATTACTTTGTCAACAAAGGTCCATCTAGTCAAGGCTATGGTTTTTCCAGTGGTCATGTATGGATATAAGAGTTGGACTATAAAGAAAGCTGAGTGCTGAAGAAGTGATGCTTTTGAACTGTGGTGACAGAGAAGACTCTTGAGAGTCCCTTGGACTGCAAGGAGACCTAACCAGTCCATCCTAAAGGAAATCAGTCCTGAATATTCATTGGAAGGATTGATGCTGAAGCTGAAACTCCAATACTTTGGCCACCTGATGCGAAGAGCTGACTCATTTGAAAAGACTCTGATGCTGGGAAAGATTGAGGGCAGGAGGAGAAGGGGATGACAGAGGATGAGATGGTTGGATGGCATCACCAACTCAATGGACATGGGTTTGGGTGGACTCCAGGAGTTGGTGATGGACAGGGAGGCCTGGCGTGCTGCAGTTTCATGGGGTTGCAAAGAGTCAGACACGACTGAGCAACTGAACTGAACTGAACTGAACAGAGAGTGGGTTTTTTGGCCTCTTTTTTGATGAAAACCTCGCATCAAGTTTGACAGAAATTTAGGAAAAGTAAGTTGCAGAAGCTGAGGTAGTTTGCAGTTTATTTTTATCTATTATTTGGTCCTTTGCTCTAAAAATGCATATATTTTAAGATTTTGTTTGTTATTAAAATGTTAGTTGTAAGAGACATGGTATTAAGCTTATGCAGTTGGTGAGTTTCTAATGAGAAATTCAGCACGTTTACACACAGATTTTTTCTGTTTACATGTTGCATATAGTGTATAACACTGTATAAAGAGACAGAAAAACCTCACATTTATCTTACAAATGGCCAAAATCAATATTTTGAATTGTGATTTATTTGTCTCAGGATATTTTAAAAAGTGACTGACAGGTATTAAAGTATTCCACATATTTATTACACAGTCAAAGCTTTTCCTTAAAATTAAATAACTGATAAGGACTAGATTAAAATTGAAGTTTTATCGTATGCATTACATTTACTAAGTCATTCTCAAGTGTGTATACAGTTGTCCCACACTATCTGTAGTGGACTGATTCCAGGACACCCCCCCCCAATAGATACCAAAATCTGAAGATGATCAAGTCCCTTATGTAAAATGGTATAGAATTTGCATGTAACCTATGCACATCCTCTCATAAACTTTAAATCATCTCTGAATTAGTTGAAATACCTAATACAGTGCAAATGCTTATGAAAATAGTTGCCAGTGTGTGGCAAATTCAAATTTTGTTTTTGGATATTTCTGAAAATTATTTTTTTAATATTTTAAATTTGCAGTTATTTGAACCAGTGGATGTAGAACCCACAGATATGTGGGATCAATTTTATTCTAATGACCTTTGGTTTAAGGGTTTCACACATGCAAATCTACTTTGAAGGGGTCCTCTTCAATGTGAATTTTATAATGGTTCGTAAGGGATGACCTCTGGCTGAAGAGTTTCCCACATGCATTACATTCATAGGGTTTCTCTCCAGTATGAATTCTTTGATGTGCAATAAGTGATGAGCTCTGCCTAAAAGTTTTCCCACAGGTAATACACACAAAGGGTTTTTCTCCTGTATGAATCCTTTGATGTTGAAGAAGAGCTGCACTTTGCCCAAAAGATATCCCACATTCCAGACATCGATATGGTTTCTCTCCTGTGTGAATTCTGTGATGATTACTAAGGGATGAATTACACCTGAATGTTTTCCCACACTCATTACATTTATAGGGTCTTTCTCCAGTGTGCATTCTCTGATGTTGAATGAGAGCAGAACTTTGTCTGAAGGCTTTCCCACACACTTTACATTTACATGGTTTCTCTCCAGTATGAATTCGCTGATGAATAATGAGTGTTGAGTGGGAACTTAAGGCTTTACCACACTCATTACAATTATACAATTTCTCTCCAGTGTGAATTATTCTATGCCTATTAAGTCGTGAAATAGAAGTGAAACCTTTTTCACATTCATTACATCTGTAAGGCTTTTCTCCGGTGTGAATTCTTTCATGTTGAATAAGAGATGCGCTCTGACTGAAGGCTCTCCCACATTCACCACATTTAAAAGGCTTCTCTCCTGTGTGAATTCTCTGGTGGTAACGAAGGGATGAACTAGACTTAAAGGTGTTGCCACATTCGTTACATAAATAGGACTTCTTTCTTGAATGAATTCTCTGACATCCAGGAAGGTTGCAAGTGGCTGCTTTCCTTCCTGGGTTATATTTGTGGGGATTGTCTTGAGCATGAATTTTTTGATGTATAAAAAGTGCAGACCTTCTGCTAAAGGATTTACCACATTCTTTACATCTGTAGGATTTTTCCACAGTATGTATTTTTACATGTTTATAAAGGGATGCACTATGGCTGAAGGCTTTCCCACACTCTTTACATATATAGGGTTTCTCTCCAGTATGAGTTCTTTGATGTTGAATAAGAGCTGAACTTTGGCTGAAGGCTTTCAAACATTCATCACATTGAAATAATTTCTCTCCAGAATGGTTTTTCTGATGTTTACGAAGGGATGACTTGTGAATGAAGGCTTTTTCACATATGTTACATTTATGGCGTTTTTCTGCTGTCTTTATTTTCGACTGGTTAAGTACATTTGAATCCTGCCTGAAGCTATTTCTTTGTATTTCATATTTTGAGGGTGTTTTTTCTCTAGCACTCCTCTGTTGCTTAACAAACACTGATGTCAGGCTGAAATTTTGGCCAAAGTCACTATTTTTATGGCTTCTTTCTGCAGTGAGGATTTTTGTATGGGTGACTGAAATTATTTGTAAACTTTCACTTTTGTCCTTCTGTTTCTTTATTCTGTCTTCATATATGCAGGGGTTTTCTGATATGAAATTCCACGGTTCATCCTTTTTGAGTGTTTTCCTTATTAGCCCCGAAAATGATGAGTCTTGAGTTTGAGTTGCCTTTGTGGTTTTAGGACTGCTCTTACATTCTGAAAAAAATAAAAAAAGGAAGTGCCAATGATTCACATGATCAGCTGAGACTAAATGTATAGAAGGAATAAATATTAATGATATCTAAATAAGGCCTCACTTTCTGGATAAAAAAACTAGGAAGAGGAAAAAATAGGAAAGTAACACTGCACATATAAAACAATAACGAATGAGAGATGACATATTAGGGTGAGTAAAATAAGGGATCCTCATTTAAAGAAGGTGAGCATATACACATGACCAGGAGAATGGAGAGAAGGGATCAGAGGAGAAGTATGAACTAGGAAATACACTCTAGCACCCAAAGCATATGACAGGCTCATAAATTATCTCCATGACATCATTCTCATTTCTGTAATTATTTCTAATCTTGAATATCTTCTCTACTTTTCCTACATGTCAAACTTCTCTGTAGCCTTCAGATTCAGTTCCAATGTTAGCTTGTCTATCACCCTTTCCTGACTCTGAGCCCCACCAATATATTCCCCTTATTATACCACATACCATAGTATACCATAATATGTATTTAAGGGAAAAAACTGAGTATATCTAGAGACAAGGAGAAAGCCTTAAAAAAATTCAGCACCATTAATAATAAACACATGCAAGAAAACAGGAATTGAGGGATACTTCCTCAACAAGCTAAAGTACATACACTTTAGTCCTAAAGTCAGTATCTTATTTAATGAAGAAACTAGAGACATTTCCACCACGATCAAGAACAAGGCAAGGATGTCAACTACCTTCACTTCTATTCAACATGGTACTAGATGTTTTAACCAATACAAGTATACAAGCAAAGTCTTTTGGCTTTGTGTATAAAGAGGCATAAGGATGAGTAAAGAGAAAATTAAACTACTTCTATTTGCTGATGCTATTAATGCTACATCTAAAATTAAACCTCAGAGAATCAATGATAAAACTTGATCAGTGACATAGTAGGATATAAAATTAACATACTAAATTCAATAACCTTCATTTATACAAAAAATCTAGGGAAATATATTCACAAGAAATATGAAAAACTTATATGAAGAAAAATTTAAAACAGTCTTGAATGTCATTAAAGTATACCTGCACCAATAGCAAAGCCTCTCCTATTCATGGATAAAACAATTAAATATTACAAAAACATAAAGATATTAAATTGCATATGTGTGTGTGTGTGTGTGTGTGTGTGTGTGTGTGTGTGTATAGATAGATAGATATTTTAAATCCAGCAGGATTTCTCAACTTCAGCTGACATTTTATGCTGGATAATTCTTTGTTTTTCAGTGATGGCCTGTGCAATAGTACTTACTCTATTCACCACTCCTACCCTCTCTCAAGTTGTAACACTCAAAAATATTTCAAGACACTGAAGCACTGAAATGATAAAATCACCCAGGGTAGAGAGCCAATGGTATGGATGAAATAAAAATGACAGTAAGTTAATAAATGTTGAAACTGAGTGATAGACACACAGGAATTCCTTATATTATTTCCTCTACTTTCATATATGTTTAAACTTTTCTACAGTAAAAGTAAAAATTAAATTTTCTTTTACTTTCTTTTAATTTCTTGCAAGAGGAGAGAGTAGGTTAATCTTTCCCCCCTTTATACCATGTTTAATCAGGGAGAAATTAGAAAATGTTTATACATGAATGAAAATGAAAACACAACTTACTAAAACTTATGGGGTGTAGTGAAAACAGTGCTAGGAAGAAAATTTAAAGAAGTACTTAAAAGCATAATTTACTACCTAAGGAACCAGAAAAAACAAACTCAACCCAAAGCTAGCAGAAGGAAGGAAATAATAAAGGTAAGAGCCTAGCCACATAAAATAGAAAAACAATAGAGAAAAATCAACAAATCCAAAATCAGTTATGTGAAAATACCTAGAAAATTGATAAGCCTTTAGTGAGACTAAGAATAAAAGGGAAAAGACACACATTACTAAAATCAGAAATGTGAGTGGTGACATTACCACATATTAAAATAAAAAGGATTATAAGGAAAAACTATGGATAATTGTATGGCAAAAAACTGGAGAGCCTAGAAAATATGGACAAATTCATAGAAACAAAAAACCTACCCAAACTGAATTATGAAGTAGAAAATCTGAACAGATATAGATCTAGAAAAGCAACTGAGTCAGTAATCAAAACCTCCCAATAAAAATAATAATTACAAAAAACAGCTCTTACCAGATGGCTTTACTGCCTACCAAACATTAAAGAACTAACACCACTCCTTCTGAAATGCTTCCAAAAAACCAAAAGAGGCAGCAATACTTTCTAACTTATTCTATGAAGCCAGCATTGCCCTGATAATAAAATCAGACAAAAACCCTACAAAAAAAGAAAGCTAAAGACCAATTATTCGTTACATATATTGATTTAAAAATCCTCAATAAAGTACTAGAAAAGAGAATTCAGCACATTAAAATGACTATATGCCATGACCAAATGAAATTTATCCCTGGCATGCAAGAATGATTTAACATATGAAAACCAACTAAAGCAACACATCACATTAACAGAATGAAGACACAAAACCACACAATCACCTCATGTGATGTAGAAAAATGCAGCTAACAAAACTCAAAATTCAACACCTTTTCATTAAAGAACAAAACTGGGACTAGAGGGAAACTACCCCAACACAATAAACACTATCCTTAAAGAACCCACAATTAACCTCATATTCAATGGAAAAAGACTGTAATCTTTTCCTCTGAGATCAGGAACAAGATAAGGATGCCCACGTTTACCACTTTAACCCAGTATTGGAATTTCCAGCCAGAACAATCAGGCAAGAAAAATAGAGTATCTAAACTGGAAAGGAATAAGTAAAATGATCTTAGTCACAGATGACATGGTCTTTTTCAAAATTTATTTTATTGAAGTACAGCTGACATATAATGGTGTGTTAATTTCTGCTGTACCACCGTAATTCAGCTATCAGATGATAAAGAATCTGCCTATAATGTGGGAGACCTAGGTTTGATTCCTGGGTTGGGAAGATCCCCTGGAGGAGGGCATGGCAACCCACTCCAGTATTCTTGCCTGGAGAATCCCCATGGTCAGAGGAGCCTGGCGGGCTACAGTCCATGGGGTTGCAGAGTCGGACACAACAGCAACTAAGCACACAGCACATACATATATTGGGTTGACCAAAAAGTTCGTTCAAACGTTTCTGTAACATCTTACGGAAAAACCCAATGACCTTTTTGGCCAACCCAATATATACTTTTTTTTTCATATTCTTTTCCATTACTTATGGTTTACCACAGGATATTGAATATAGTTCCTCGTGTTTTACAGTAGGACTCTGTTGTTTGTCCACTCTACATAATAGTTTGCAACAGATGACATGATCTTATATACAGAAAATCTAAAGGTTCAACAAAAGAACTGATAGAATACACAAACTCAGCAAAGTGGCAGGATAAAAAAATNGACTCTGTTGTTTGTCCACTCTATATAATAGTTTGCAACAGATGACATGATCTTATATACAGAAAATCTAAAGGTTCAACAAAAGAACTGATAGAATACACAAACTCAGCAAAGTGGCAGGATAAAAAAATCTACACAAAATCAGTTGTGTTTTTATATTCTGACAATTAACAAGTCAAAATGGAAATAGAAAAAAGGTTTTTATTTACTATAGCATCAAAAAGAATAAAATACTTAGGAATTAACGCAAAGGAAGCAAAAGATTAATACACTGAAAACTACAAACAGTGTATAAAGAAGATGAAGGTAAATGGAAAAACATCAAATATTTATAGATTATAAGATTTAATATTAATAAGATGTCAATACTACCCAAAGTGATCTAGAGATTAAATGCAAGCCCCATGAAAATTCCAATGTCATTTTGGGGCAGAAATAGAAAAACTCATGTTAAAATTTATATGAAATCTCAAGGGACCCTGAAAAGTCAAAATAATTTTGAAAAAGAGGAACAAAGTTGGAATACTCATACTTCCCGATTTCAAAACTTATACAAAGTTACAGTATGGAAGCATCATGGTACCGGCATAAAGGTACATATAGACCAACGGAACAGAATAGGAAGTCTGAAAACAAACCTTCGCATATGAGGGTAAGGGATTTTCGACAAGGGTGCCAAGACCATTCAATGGGGAAAAGACAGTCTTTTCAACAGATAGTGCTGGGAAAGCTGGACATGCAGGTGCAAAAAAAAAAAAGAAGAAGCTGGACCCTTCATGTGTGTAACACCACACACAAAATTCAACTCAAAATGAGTATATGACTTAAACAAAAGACCTAAAATATAAAATTCTTAGAAGAAAATATAGGACAAAAGCCTCATGACTTAGGATTTACCGTTGATTTCTGGAACAGAATACCAAAAACATAGGAAACAAAGGAAAAAATAGACAAATAATTGTATTTCATCAAGATTAAAAGCTTCTGGGAGAATTCCTGGCAGTCCAGTGGTTAGGACTTGGCACTCTCACTACTGGGGCCTGGGTTCAATCCCTGGTTGGGGAACTAAGACTCCACAAGCTGAGCAGTGTGGCCAAAATAAACAAATAAAATCTTCTGTATGTCAAAGATGACATCAGCAGAATATAAAGGTAAGACTAGGAAAAAATTTTCTAATTATATATCTGATAAAGGGTTAATATCCAAAATATATTCCTATAACTCAACAATAATAAAAAAACAATTTAATTTAAAAATGGGCAAAGGACTTGAACAGACATTTCTCTATAGAAGGTATACCAGTGGACTCTAATAAGCACATGAAAAGATGCTCAACATGTTAGGAAATAAAAATCCAAACCACAATATTCTACTTCACATTTGTTATTATGGCTAACAAACATACTTGCGTGTGTGTGTGTTTTAATTATATATAGAGAGAGATGCAAAGAAACAAATGTTGTCAAGGATATGGAGAAACTGGAACTCTTCTGAACTGCACTGGTGATCATGCACCAGCTAGGAGAAAGAAAGCTCTGACTCAGTCTCTTTCAAAATCT